TTTCCCTGGATGGAGGCCAATGTCCATTGACATAATTCCTTATATGATTCTTACTACATAGATTATCGCTTGGGTTAGCTCAGAATAACAATAGCCTAATTCTGAGTAAAAGATCAGTCTAAAAATGTTTGTATTCATATTTATATCACACTATAAATATAAGTAAAGTTCTGTCTAGGATGTGTTTATTTTAATTATTGATAACATCTGTAATGCTGTTTCCTTCAGGTTAATGCAGATGATAAGCTCTGTGAAAATGAAAGCAAAAAAATATCCCACTTCTGTAATGAATTCCTTTGAGTTCATCTTGATATGTAGGAAAAGTTGCCTTAAAAACACTGATTGGAAATAAATTTGAAAATACGGGAGTTATTTTACTTTATGTTTATATATTTATATTGTGGTGATTTTATGTGAAAACGTGTGTTCTTTCGTTTTCTAAACAACCATATTCAGTGAACCTATAAAGATGAGACTGTCAGAAAAGACAAAGGAAAAAAAGAAAGGAAAATATGGAGGATATAATTGCTAATGCCGAATTGGAATGGTGTGATGACATAATATATTTGTAAAATATTTTAAGATAATACAAATTATCCTTTTAGACTGTAAGTCTCTTTCTTATAATTCAGTATCCTATGGTGTAGGAGGTTTTCCTATGAATATACAGTGGGATCTCACTGAATACTTCCCTACAGAATTCTACAGTGCTCACAGACTTTAGAACAATGATGTCACAGCATATCAAAACAAGCCTTTCTCAAACAAGAATATTTTACTTCTCTTTCCTTCGTGTTCCAACATTAAACCCTTCTGATCTGTTTCCTCCTTTTTGATACTGAATCCTACATTTTGTCCCCATTTCCCTAGATTAAGTAAATAACACTGAATTTCATTCTCATTTGTTTCTGTGTCTCTTTGTATTCCATATTAATCATTGCTTTGACTTTGCTTCTCAAGTTACCAGCCATGTGTGGTGCAGTCTCTCACTGCATAGTTCCTCTCCTCTAATTACTAAAGTTTGAATTTTCCAAATGAATGATACAATCATAGAATGGCTTAGGCTGAAAGGGAGTTTAAAGATGATCTCATCCCAACACCCCTGCCATGGACAGGGACACCTTCCACTAGACCAGGTTGCTCAAAACTCTATCCAGCTTGGCCTTGAGCACCTCCAGGGACAGGGCAACTTCTCTGAGTGACCTATTTCAGTGCCCCACAGTGAATACTGACACAGTTAAAACCATAGAAACTCTAAACAGAATTATCCAAAAACATCTGTGATTCTCAAATATTTCTAGGCATACGCTAAAGTTTAATACTTGATTTCTTCTTTTTACTCTCTGTACTGATTGTGGTTTGTGGCATATTCCCTACTTTAGATTTCATACATTGGGGTAGATGCCCCACAGATAACTTACAATGTCATTAGAATAAGTTGTACAGGAGAGTCTTGAGTTTCACAGAGAGTAGGCAAAAAGGACTCATCACTGATTTACTTTTTACTTATCTCATTGAAGTACATCTTATTGAAGTGCCTTCTAGTTTTGCCTTTTTCTCTTTATCATGCTTCCACTAGAATTTTACCTGAATAATTTCTGAACACACATTTCAGAAGTACTGCAGAACATATATCAAAGAATGTTTTTTATGACAAACACATACAAAGTCTGTCATCAAAAATGCCTGTCTTAGCAATGTTTTTCACTTTGTCTTGGCTGAAATGGATCCTATCTTCACTTGCTTATAGTTTCACCCATGTATTTTCCTGAAAAGACTGGTCTTTAAAAAGGTGTCTGCAAAATGTCTAGAAAAAAGGAAGCAGGCAGCCATGTTCAGGGACTGTAACAGTACCACACAGCACTTTGCAAATTAATAAAAATGTGAACTCTGTGTCTGCAACTAATCCAGTTCCAATCAAATGGACCTCAGTGGATATACGCCAGTATCCACTTAGCTCTGAGTACCGAGCATCCAAATGAAACAAAAAAAATGGGTCAGTGAAATCAATCTGCAACAGGTACTGGGACCCACCAATCAACCATTTTATTTCATTAATTGTGCTGTGGCATTTTTAATGAGCACACCAAATCAGGATCCTCTTTTTTCAAACCACAGAAAGATTGAAAACACCAGTCAGTATTTCTTCAGTTCCAATTCAGAAGGAAGGTTACTGTCTGAACAACACAATAATCACATATGCATAAATAAGCAAATTTAGGAAACCCAAACCATGTAATTAGATTTTGCATTATTTTTTACTTTTCTACAAGCAGAAATGGACACAATGTGAAGTGTTGAATAGATTTTGACCAATCGTTTGAAAATAAATAATAGGTATATTATTCTCTCCAATATATTAACGTGGTCTCCCTGCAAGCAGGGTACTCTTCACTTAGAAAATGCTACTCCAATAGCAGTCATCGAAAAGTTTTCAAGATTATTTTAACTCAGCATTGAAAATGCAATGCCAGCAAAATTGTAGTGAAATAGAGATTAGCAATCATGGGTTGCATATACAGAGGCATTTCTGCCTTTTTAGGGAGAAATGAAGTCACAGGTTTCAGCTCTTAAATTCTGCAAAATCATATGTAAAACTAATTTCCTGTGAAGCTTCTGTTTACTTGCTAAGTAATTTTGCTTTTTGGTTAATTATTTTGAACTTTTGCAACAAAAGACAAAAAGATAAGCATTTATTTTAGATATTGGAGGTATTTAATTTTGTGCCAACATTTTTTATTTTACCTTCATTTAAAAATGTGCGCTGCCTTACACTGCAACAGACTAGTACTGTAATGTGTCTCCGTGCTGTAAATGGTCCATAAAACATTCAATCATTTCAACACAGTTACTAAATAACGGATATTTCAACTTTACTACAATAGATGTTTATGTATTTAGTATAAGTAAAAACGTATAAATAGAGAGCAGAATTTAGTGTGCATGACATCTCTTTTCTACTGCACAAAATAACTTTTCTCCATCAAAAGGTCTGAAAATGTGTTTTAAAAATCTCATAAATTGCCGTTTACATTGGTCGACCTCTGCTATTCCTATTTTAGAGACCAAAGAAAACCTCCTAAACTGAGAACCAGCTGGATTAGCCTGTCCATGTCAGTGAGCTCTTCATTCTGATATTCAGAGTGCTATCTGTGGAATTCGTGCTTTGTCAGTACCAAAAATGACAGCAGATATGGGAAATACCCTCCAGATGTGATGCAGCAATTGATAACGAAATTAACAGAAATCTCACTATAACATATATTAATAATAACAACTATAACAACCATTTCCAATAATGAAACATAGTTTCTATAGACAAAGATGTTACTTTCAGTGTAATACTATAATTCTTTCTCAGTCCCTGAATTACTCCAATTTGAGCTACAGAGTTCTTCATCCATTTTAAGAGAAACCAGGCAAATTTGAAGTACTTGCTTATACTTGAAACTCAGCCCACCAAAAAACCCTGCACAGTAGTTATACACGATAAGATTTTTCTTTGAAAATGAGGTAGTTTTTTTTATTTTTAAAATGTCTAGGACTATAAATTACAATTATGTATGAAAAATCTTCCACTTTTCATAGAATGCAATAAGGGCAAAATCTGTGAGCCTATCCTAACTTCTAGGATTTGATTTCTGGTGTGTAAAATGGGAAAACTAAGACATGGTATTTTCTGACCATGCAGTTTTCAGGGTCACTTTCTCCAGATGAGCAATTTACACAAGATAAGTAAGGAGTAATTCAGATTTAGAATGACAAAAGAATTTGAGACAGAATTTGAGACACCTATATGTACCCTTTTTTAGCTTTGGCAGAGGTCTTGAGAAAATACATTACTTAGCTGAATGTTAGAATGCTTCTTCTCTTTAGAAAGAAGTAAGGACGCACTTTACCAAAGCTAGCTCAGTTTGCAGGATGATCAAATGGTAGGAGAAAAAAAAAAATTAGTGTCCAGGCTTATTTAAGTGCTGAAAACTGAAAATGGAAGCTACTCAACAACATGTAATACTCCTTCTTGACTACTAATTCTGTAGTCTTATCACAGCAATCCTCATATTCCAGTGTGAAATACTGGTTGCAGAAAGGCAATACTTCTAACAAACACAAGTTCATTCAGGTAGCCTTTAATTTCCAATATTATATAGCACTAGATTTATAGTATTAATATGCTAAAATAAGATAACCAATACAGTCTTAGGAATCAAATACCCATCTTAAAAATCTATCATTTAGGAAAACAGTCATATTTTCTCACCGTGAAAAAAATCTGCAGAATTCCCATATTTAATAAAAGCTATGATGAATTGTAACACTTAATAGCTACAGAATAATACCTAAAATAGTCTAATTTAAAGAAAAAAGGTTAACACTTACCATTACCACGAGTCAATATACATTTTCCTCAGATGCTTTTTGTTATGGACTGTCTGTGAACAGTTTGCTTTTCTAAGCTTATGAAGGATGGGTGGCTGTCTTACTAAGGCTTAATAGGATAACAAGTTCAATTCTTTTTCTTTAGACTTACCCCCTTCTGTACCGCCAAACCCAGCAATGATATGCGGTATATATATATCCTTCAAATCACTGAAGCAATAAAGGACTGCCAGTTATTTAACTCTTTACAGCTAAAGCAGGTAATAAAAACAACTAAATTACTTAGCAGCTACAAAATGTCAGATTTGTCTGAAAAGTCTTAATCAATCAGATTACCTAATTAAAATTAAAGATAAAAGAGGGAGCAATGTTCACAGTCTTGTTCCACTTCTTTTTCTATTTCTGTCTGCTAAGCTCAGAATCTGATTAGTATATTTAATTCCATGAAGCATCATGACTGGTCTACCTTTAATCAGCCTGTTGACATCCACCCGTTTTTCCCTCACATGTTGCAGACTTCAACGTAATCATTTACTGACTTGCCAATGCTCCCATAGAAAACATGATATTCAAATTACAGAATCAACACTGGAATGATTACACTTCTCACACATTTACAGATACCCAGAATGAAAAATGAGTTAAAAGAAGTATGTTTATTGAGACAAATGCAAAGTTTGTAAAAATACCACAGCCAGTAAGTATTATTATACTTACATACAATGCCATTACAATGCATGAGATTACAGTTTCATTATAAGTATCCATTTTGGTTTGTGTTCAAAAACCTAATTATCTTCTGCTTCATTAAGCTACTATTTTTAATATCTATGAATTATAAAAATAGATAAAATAGGTAATATTTTCAAATTACATACTGAATAGAAGATAGTTCTCTTTAGTACATAGGCAAACTGAGATAAAAGGCATCTCCAGAATTTTCTGCCTTGTACATCTGATGTCATGAGTATTCTTTTTGGTCTGATAGCCTTGTACAAGCAAGGGAGAAAAGAGAAAGATCCTTTTTCACAGCACAGAAAAGACCAGTTTTGTAAGTAACACTATTCTCTTAATGTGCAGCATTAACTTTGTGGCAAGAAACAGTCTGCTTCCAAAGCTGCTGCTGTCTTTTGGGAAAGTCAAATTACTGAGATCTTCTGGAGGTGTTGCCCAAACAATACTCCAGTCATAACCACTACACTCTGTTCAGCTGCTTCTATATTTAATTTGGCACTTTCCTAAACTGCTGTAGCTGCCAGATAACCACAGCATTTGGCTCTTTAATTTGACATCTCCTTTGTAGACTGCAAACAGTAACTGTCCTTCAGAAAATGTATAGGAATTTTCAAATTAAAATTCAAACCCTGACCTACTAACAGGGCAAATTAAGCAATAAAAAACCATGAAAAAATCTTTCCTTAAATAGATTAAATTTATCTAAGTAGTTTGCTTAAACAAGAGAAATTTTTCTTCTTCCCTGCAAATGGTTCTTCTATTGGTGAGGGAAAAAGGAAATGAAAGCTTCAAAAGCTTTCTCAAAAGCCTGGCTTAGATTTTGAAATCGTATAAAGACTAAAAATCATTGAAACACTTAAGTTATTAGACTTGAAAGATCAATAAAATATTACGCTCAAAATCAGGGATTATTTAAGTGTTGTTCCCTTCGTCATATGATTTTTTCCTGTTTTTCTTCATGCAGTAAAGTGAAAATTTTCAATTCACTTATTAGCATTGTAATTGCAGATATATACTGTTATACAGATTCTAAAAAAAAAAATTAGGCAGGTTAGGGATACTGTGGAGTTTCACTGTTAGAAGCACGTTTCTACAGCAACTCAACATAATTTTCTACACAAAAGCTAGTATTCCAATGGGTCTTAGTCATGGACATTTAATTACCTCAAAGTGATAAACTACTTATTTGTATGCTACCTATATTTGATCTATGATTTATCCTCCCTCTTCCATTTGCTCCTCTTTCCTTTGTTGCTCATCTCTCTAAATGTAATTACCAGAGTACTAGTTGAAACTTCCTTTCATTGCTTAGATTCCACCACTTTTTGCATACTTTCCAATATTCTCCTTTACTTTATGAGCAACCTGTGACTGATTAATCCCATTGTTACCACAAAGTCCTACTGGCATGACAGCTTTGCACAACTTGCCTTCCCTGTAAAAGCAATTTTTAAGGGACACAGTGTATGGTTTCCTTCTCCTTGCCAGACAACTCAAGAGATAACCTCATTGTTTTTATTTGTAGGTATGGCTGAAACAAGGGAGAGAATGAAGCCAAATAATACTCCAAGTCTGCCAGGAATGCTTAAAGTACTGTTTAAGTACTGCCTTACAAATAAACCATGAAAACTGCTGAATGACATGGATGGGGGAAAAAAAGAATAATCAGGATTTGTGTAACAGTTTTACTGATTCCAGGTTGCTGAGAATTTTGGTAAAAATGTAACACTATTCACTGCTAAAAACAATTTAAATTTCTCCAAATAAACAAATTATAGAAGAGTAAATTTACATTTGTCACTATAATTGCACTTTCCTCAGGTCATTTGCATTTCTTTTGATATCACTGCAATGACTGCAGAATGTCACACTATGAACGACTACATAATGAAATTAATACTAAAACAGTATACTTTCCTTCTTAAAATATCAACATTATCTTAAATAACTTGATACATTAAAACCAAATAAATATTTTAATTAACATATTGCTATCCCAATCTTATAGCTGCAGTGAATATACTTCTTTCAACTGTAAGATTCATAATAGCAGTAACAATCTTAGCATCTCCATTTCCATAAAGAACTTTCTGCATATTTTGAGATATGTCTTGTTCTTCCTTCTCCATTACTCTATAATTTAATTTCTAATTATCAGAAAATGAAATGACTCACTGCCTACCATCAAATAAGTACATTATTATCTTATAAAAACATTATTACTCAGGCTTTCGAGGGCGGACTTCCAACATCGTTTTCAAAAACAAAGTATTGTGTTACACCTTTAAATTCAGGCTGACATACAGTTGGGTAAGTGCAGACCTAGTCAGAATGGATGAGTAAACGCTCTGCTTAGAGTTTTAATATAAATTAGGTTATTAATGTAAAAGATACAAAGTACCACATATTCACTATTTACAAATGCTATTAACTTTACAACAACCACAGTTGGTAAGGTTTTCAGCACTGAATGTAGATTTCCGTGACAGGTCAAATTTAAAGAATGGAGATGGGCAAAAATGAGAAAGAAATAATTAAGGCAAGTACGAGGATGTAAGTAGAGAATTTAAACAGCAGGCAAAGTCAGACAGCCTTCTTTGTAATGCTGTGACTCCTTCCAGTGTGGGAAGATCATATCAAACATAAAAAGTAAAAGAGCAAAAGGCATAATAATTTCATTTTAGAACAAAAAACAGCCTGTACTGAACAAGGCACCAATTTTACTTACTTGTTGCTTGCTTGCTTGGGATAATTATTGAGTTTTGTCCAAATTTAATTCAGGTCTGAAAACACCTACAAAAATTTGCGTAAGTGAGCTCTGGAACCAATGTAAAGGCTCAGAAAATCACTTGGTTTCACATTCACAAGACAAACAGTTCTAATTTATTCCTAATTGAGCATTCAATAGAAGAAGGAACTTAAAGAAATCAATTATTTGAATTAAAGATTAGCAGTCATTCCAATCCAATGTTTTATCAACTGGTGTGCAATTGCTCGACTTGGTGGTACAAAGAAAGAACGCTGGTTTCCTTTAATGAGAACTTCCACAACCTGCAATAAAACCAATTTTTTTATCTTTACAAGACAGCATGATAAACTATATAGAATCTAACACTGTATTATGCAGAAATTATCTTCCTACAATGATCTATCAGTCTACCACTGCTACACCTATTAAAGAATTACTGAGAGATTCTCCAAGGTAGATGCAGAGAAAGTCCCTCATTGTGTGAATTACAACATTTTTGAGCTTAATGTGCCTCAAAAGATATCTTCTTCTTAACAGAACTGTGGAGACAGCTAATATACTATTTAAGGTTTTTGTGAAGCCTTTTTTTGGCACCACCTGATGGTGCTCTACACCATGACAAATATAATTCTTTTAAATTTTACATGTAGTGCCAAATGAGATGTTTTCTTGGTCTTCTGAAGCAGTTGCAAGTAACATGTGAATACACTTTTAGCACGTTTTTGAAGTATCTTTATTTCAAGCTGTATGCCAATCTGCATGTGACTAGTTGTACTTGGAACTGATATTAATTTAAAATAATGCTCCCAGTGTTAACAGAAACACACTGAGATTGTAGATGACTAACTTTACCTTCAAGGTGACTTACAATCAAAACACTTGGAACTACTAGGCAGATGTCCAGTGTTATTAAAAGCTTAGCTCCTAAGTTGCCTATGGGAAAACCTATGAAAACTAATGCACAAGCAGTCTTCCCTTCTACTCATGAGCTGAAATACTTCAGTGAAAGTCTTTTCTGCCTCTCTTTTATTTGAGTATATTTTAACTACTGATGGAAGCTAAGTGTAGGATTTCTTATTAATGCACAGTAAACTGCATTTAATACCTCAAAAAATAAAAATGATGCATGAAAAAATATCTTCAATCCAATGAATTCCCAGAGTCCTTACTTTAGCTTCCATTCTCACAACAAATCTGGTAGTATGCTTGTTTGGAGAAACTGTGATGAATAATGCTATTAAATACTACTTCTGTGTGAAAAGCACAGGCTTGCTAAGGAAATGGCTTAAAATAACTTGGCTATCTCACAGAAGGGAAAGGTGAAGAGCAAACTGGCAAAAATGTCATAAAATGAGCTTGCAAGTAACTCAGACATTACTGTGAATATCTGTCTTTCTCTGGTGGTGTCTAACCTACAACCACAAAATAATGCAACTGCAGTATGATAAAATGAAGAGTACACATGCTCGTTCGACTTGCTGAAAAAAGCCAGTGTCTGTTGTATGCCTGAACCAAAACAGTCACAGACTAATCAATAGAAGAAGAAAATGAAATTGAACTTTACCTGTTCTCTAGTGAACCAGCGGGCATCCTCTATTTCATTCTTGTCAACTTTAATTTCTGTGGACACTGCAAAAGCTAAGCAGCCAATCATTAGGGAGGAGGGCATTGGCCATGGCTGACAAGAGACATACTGAACATGGGAAACTTTGACTCCAGCCTCCTCCTCTACTTCTCTTCGAACAGCATCGCTTATGGTTTCACCTAATCAAAAAGGGCAAAGAACAAGCAGCTCATGAAAGTACTCCAAGCAACAATCACATGCTGTGCTTTGAACTGACTCAAAAGATTTGAAACTGCCCAAAGCAATTATCTCTAAAGATCTAGTTCACAGGTGAGGGCAAAGACCTCAGCAAAGACACAGAAGTCTAACAAGGTAAAACAGCCAACAACAAAAAAATTGAACCTTGAAAATAAAGTGTAGTAATTTCCCCATAATATTTATTTCCTGAACTGATAATTCATCATACACACAAACCATTATCAGTAGACTTAAAATGTCAAAAATTGGGTAGAAAATACATAATTCCTATAATTATTCTTGAAACATTGATCTATTCATTTGTAACTAGCATCGTGTTAATTTCTGCATTTTCAGTGTGATTGCAACACCATGTACTACAACTGAAAAATCAGTATTTAGAATTAGAACAGTAGGAAAACAGAGATTCAGAATACTTGCTCAAATTTCTGCATGGTATTATTCCCTTTGCCTGACTCATTCTTCATTGCCTTAACACATGCAGACGATACTGTAAATTGAAACCTCAATGGAAAGCTTTGCTTCCATATCCACAGAAAACTGTGAATGTATGTGGGTGGAATGCTGATGGTCACCAGCCTACAGCTGCACACATGTATTGTACTATAACTACTGATTACAGGTTAATTAAAGGACACAGTCCTTCCATCAGAAATAAATACCTTGACTTATTTCAAATGATACCTGAATAGATTTGTTCATGCTGTCACTGTATGTCAACCTGCACACATTTACTGAATATATTTATTCACTATAATTTCACTAGTGATAAAGATTTATTCCCAATATAAGAATGTTTTACAGGTTGTTCTGCAGGTACTTACAATTGTAACTCATTTTTAACTATTATTGCTTGACATAGCTACCAAAATATCTATTTGTCTTTTTTCAGAATTATGCAATTTCTACTTATCTTCCAAAATCAATGAGGCTGTAAACATGTAAGCATATGCTTAACTTCATGTTAACTTTAGCGCTTACTTTTCCAATGCTAAAATCTTCTGTTAAATCAAAGGTGATGTGTTTTAAAACACATCAGAGCCAAGGTGATGCATTTTAAATTTTTTTTTCATTTAAGTAGCGATTTAAGACTACATTATATGAAAACAATTTATTATTTTTATTTTCTCAGGTTGCTTTTTGTTTTTTTAATAAATCAGCAGCTGCAGAGTATAGAATAAGCATATTTATTGTAACAACTCATCTATCAGGATGCAAACAACATCAATTTGAGATGACACAAATTATATTTCTCTGTAAAGATATAATACTCTTATTGAGAAAATATATTGGATAAAGGAAAATAAAATTACCAGGTTCTACAAATCCAGCAAGGCAAGTAAACATTCCTGGGGGAAATCTCTTCTGCCTACCTAAAAGGCAGTGGTTCCCATCTGGATGAATAACTTGCATTATCACAACAGGATCTGCAAAGGACATGAAACAAATATATTTCAATATTTGAGGGACTTAAATGCAGTAAAAACTTCCAGTCTATTCCATACCAATGCATATAAACGATACTGAAATCATAATTGTGTGCATGCCCAGAGTAAGCTGTTATTTCATTTCCCTTTGGGGGAAATGCAGGAGAGGAATTACCTGTAACCAAAGCACACAATCTTCTTATAGCACCAGCAGTACTAACCTAGCTATGCATCCAGCATATATCAACAGTTTCTGCAGCAAACTCATTTATTATCACCTTCTCTTCACCACAGAGGTCTGAAGAATATCTTTTTGACAAAACACCAAACAACTAGACACTTTGCTGACAGTGCAAATACTGACTAAATACTGCCTACTTCCCACCTTTGATTTTGTTTACTCTTTGCTATCAGTTTTTCATATGATGCTGCACTTTGATAAATTTTCTCACTTCTCGTCATTGTATGTGTCTTTTTCTTTCTAACTTAGTATTTTCTCCTATTGATCTAAGCAACCCTATACAACTCATGTTCTTTTTATACAACTCATGTTCTTTTACCCTTTTTACTGTCATCCAGTTTTAAGTAAAAAAGTAAAATGTTACCTCTTATATGCTTCTGATATCTCATTTATACTGTTGGAATTCCTAATTGATACTGCTTGTTGAAATAAGGTTTGCATTGTCACAGCAATTCTGTAACACAGACTAGAGCAAGAAAGAGAAGCCTGAACTACTTAATCCTAAACAGAGTTGAGACACATATAACCTGTGGAGAAACAGGTATGAAAGACCTAGGAGAGAAGTAAGCAGCTGAAATAACTATAAATAGATTTACATGCATATAATACAAGCAAGCCACTTTTGAGTGAGTATTCTCACCAACTCTTGGATATGATGTATTGTGAACTCCTTGGAGACTGGGACAGTCTTCTTTTAAGCAAGTTTTCTTGTAACCCCCTTCTTCAATCCTGGTTGCACCCCCACATGTTGGGCAGAATCGGTAATAGTTGTGCCATGCTAGAACAGATCTCGCCTGGGCTATCACTCCTTTAAAACAATACATGGAAAATGCACAAAATCAAATACTTATTCATGTTAAGCTTTTAACAGCATAGAAAAATCAAGTAGTGAAGTTTAACACAAAAAATCAAAGTCAGAGTGTAGTTATCAAAGTCAGAATGTAGTTTGAATCATAATCATGTCTACAAGAGAAGTCAAGCAGTATGGGTTATTCGGACCTTTTTCTTTGCAGCACAGCAAATGCAATAGAACATCGTATTAAAGAGCTACAGGGCAATTTACACACATTCAGAATCAAATTCATCCAGATCAATATACCCTGTTTCTCACAGAAGTCACTTTGTGTAGGCAAACTGCCACAATTACATATATCAAGTCTTTCCCAGATAACAGTTTTAGGAATACAGGTATTGACATCATAAGGCATGGTTCCATTTAAACTTAAGGTTCAAGTCAAGTTTTCCCTTTATCCTTATGTAAAAATGTTGGGGGTTGAATTGTTCCCTTTTCTTTCTGTGGAATTTTTTCCATTGTTATGCTAAGTATTTGTGGCTACACCCCAGTAGTAACAGTTTTCTCTCGCAGGGGGGTGGGGAACAGGGGGAGACCGGAAAAGGAAAAGTGGGACAGGAGGGCCAGGGCACTCGCTCTTGGAGTGGAAGGAAGACGGCTGGAGCATCCTAGCATCCTCCCCGCCATCCCAATGCCAGGAGCCACATTCCCTGCTGTCAGACATTGCTCTGCTGCCTTCCCACTTCATCCTGCTACCTCCGGGCACTCTGCCGAGCCCCACGACCGACCCCGTGAGGGGGGAGTCTCTCCTCCATCCCTCTCAGCCCTGGGCCGCCGCCATCACTCCAGCCCTCTGCGACTGCGCGGGCCCTGCCCTGCCCCCAGCACCGGGAACTGAGCGCAGGGAGAGGGAGCCTGTGGCCAAAAGGGACTGGAACTGAGTACACTGCTCTGTTCTGCTGTCAGTTTTTATAGCTGTTGTTGTTTCTGCTGTTTGCCTTGTTAGATATATTAGTCAAGAACTGTTTTTCCTATCCCCATATCTTCTGCCCCTGATTTCAAAGTATAATAATTGGAAGGGAGGGGGTTGCTCTCTGCATCTCAGGGAAGGGGTTCTTGCCTTCCCTTAGCAAATACCTGTCTTTCAAACCAAGACAAAAACCAAAACTGCTACAACAGCAGTCACTAACAACATTTGTGGTTAATGTCCTTACTAATACTAATTTACTTTGGCATCCTGACTTTTCTACTCTTCCTTGTCAGATGAGTATCCAACACACTGTTATAGAAGACTTAGGTTCTCATTTCTTGTAATTAATTATTTCACTACTGAAAACTCACTAATGACAGATTTTTCCCTTTGTTTTATGTTTATAATGTTCACGTATGAATATTTAATGTTTAAAATCCATGATGATCAACAGGTCTTACAGTCTAATGCTGTAATTGCAGAAATAAGTCCTCTGCAAATGCACATATTCTTAAGTACAAAATTCTTCACAACACCACTACCAGGCTTTTAAAATAAAAATATTTCTAGAGCCACTGAAAACAAATTATTTCTTTGCAGTGATTTTTTTCTTTTCTTTTAATTATACCTCAGGGAATACCAAAGTGTATTTTTCTGATTATACATTTTGTACTTGCTCCATTTTATGCATCTTACCAGCTTCTTTTTCAGGTAACTGTAGTAGTGCTGGCATCGGCGGGTGAAGAAAGTAACAACCCTCATGCTTCTGTTTAAATTTTTCAGCAGAAGCACAATCTATGCTAAGAGCAAACCAAGCAACTAACCCATCTTCTTCATCTTGCAGAAGTCTTCCATGGCAAGCAGCCATCAGGTTCACATCAGACTGAAGTTCCACTCCAAGAAAAATCAAGGTACATTCTTCACTTTGGTTCATGCACTGTTCCACATCCTTGTGGTATAGCCTGCAAAGCTTTACTTCTGTTTGCTGTGAGCTCCCTCTTCCCTTACCCGAAGTAACCAAGGGACTTAGATTTGAGAAGACAATGTATACTGTATCTGGATGGCTTTGTTTTTTACTTAGCCACTTGGAATCTGTTCTTTTATCACTCCTTCTATCCAGAAGTGTCATGCCAAAATAATTTTCATACTCTTTCACATCACTTGACAAAAAACTAGGTTTCTGATCATCTCTCACATTAGCCAACAAATTAGCTATGTGTTTGTACCCCCAAAATTTAGCAATGTCCAGAGCTGTCTGCTTTGATTTATTAATGATGGATCTGTCACACCTGAAGAAACAGAAAAGAGATGAGGTTACCAGAGCAAATAAGTTCAGGAAGGGTCCTATTGCTGTATTATTGTTACTTATAGCATATACATCTGACACTATTAAGGTACAAGAACTTCTAGACACTCTGTCTATACTAGGATAATCTTCTGGCATCATGGTGACGAAATATAATTATACTTATTTTTCTTTTGCCTAGGCTGTATTTCACATTTTTGTTGATCCTTTCCAGTTTATCATTCACCAAAATTCATGAAGTAGTACAAAGGCAATGAATTAATTAAAATTCCACACACTGTATCATTAAAAAATAGGCTCAAAAACAGAGCTTTGGAAGTCAGGCTCTAAGTCTGTTCCTCATAACCAGTAATGACAATGGTTTGAAAAAAAAAAAAAAAAAAAAGAAGCAACCTAACAAGCATTACTTTCTAGAAGCTACTGGAAGCAGCAACAAAACATTTACAATATAAATATTTTATTGAGATTAACTGGCTTGTTCAGCCTGGAGAAAAGAAGACTGAGGAGAGACCTCACTGGGGTCTCCAACATCCTCATGAGGGAAAGCAGAGGTGCAGGTCCTGGTCTTTTCACTCTGGTGACCAGTGACAGGACCTGAAGCCAGGGCTCAGGGAGGGTTTAGACAATGGTCTCAGGCACATGGGCACACGGTGGGATTCTTGGGATGTTCTGGGCAGCTACAGGAGTTGATTCTTGTGGGTCCCTTCTAACTCAGGATATTTGACAATTACCATAAAATTAGATTCAAGAATACAGCCTCTGGTTACTGACAGAAGCCGGTTCCTGTAGGGATCTTTTAGTTACCCAGATGTCTGTAAAGTGAAACATATAAAGGAGTGTTGCCTCGTCATATACATTTAAATACTAAAACCAAAGAGAAACCCGGACCTTAAATAGGTTGAGGTTGATTGGGAGGTCAAAATAACACAATTTAATTATTTGCTAATCCTAAACTGGTAAGCAAAACAGAAATGTCACTAAACTACAAATTACGCAATAAATATGAGACTCATCAGTTTTTAAAACGAGAGAATGCCAGTAATATTAACTGTTGATGATACACAGGTAACTGCACCACAGACAAGACCATTTTGAGATTTTATATTAAAAGTACAGTTTAGAAAAGTATTCAAAACTTAATTGTATGTTTTTGCTGCTAAAGCAACTCCTCTCATGACCAGTAATAGGACTCAAGGGAATGGCATGAAGCTCTCTCAGGGGAGGTTTAGGTAGGCTATCTGGAAAATGTTCTTTATCCAGAGGGTAGCCGGGCACAGGAGCAGGCGCCAAGTCTGAAAAAGTTCAAGAATTGTTTGGACAATGCTCTCAGGCACATGGTGTAACCCTTGGAGACAGTGCTGTGCAGGACTCTGAGTTGGACTTAATCCTTGTGGGTCCCTTTCAGCTTAGGATATTCTATGATTCTACAATTCTGTGATAAAAAAACAACTGGCTAGATTTCTAGAATTACTCTTTGTAATGTATATTATCTTCATAGACATTCATGTTTATATAACCACCAACTGTAATTGTCAAAAAAATATTCTAAGCATTAACTAAAAGGAGACCAGTGAGGCCACAGCATCATCTCCTGAATTATATACAACTGCCTCAGAGATTAATCATGAAAAGGACATATAAAAGCGATAGTCACTTTTTTTTTAAAGGAAAAGTGTAACTTAAAAAACTATTATCCTATTTATCAACTGATAAATTCGCTAGCATCTCAAAAGATTCCTCAATACACAAAATCTGGCACTGAGATACTCCTCTGTGTACTGGAATGTACTGATTGTAGTAGAAACCAGTGGTTTATCTAAGGCCCCTCTCTGAGCCCCAGCACGGGCTACAGGTCTTGGGTATGACTGAAAAAAAAAATCATAAACGGGTGGGATGATTACTGGAGGCTGCGGAATGCTATGCCTCAAGTTATTCATTAACTACAGAATAAGTAAACTTCCTTTTCTCTGTAATTAGGAGTTCAGAAAGGAGCAGCCTGGGCTTGATTAACATTAAACTCAGTTAAACAAATTTGATTCTAACTTAGTTTTAAACATTTTCCATTTGAAATAACTTTGGAAAAGGTGAGTCTGTCGTGTCCTACTGAAGAGTCAGCAAATATTCTACACTAATAAAGATTAAAAATGAAGTCTAGAGGAGAGAATTTAAGTGGAAAAATCAAACACACCCTATTTATATTCAAGATAGTGGCTGGAATTAGGGTGCAAACTTTGTTCTATTCTGTTGGCCTCTGTGAAAAGTGACAACATAACCTAAAATATCAAAGGAGTAACTTTAGAGATGCTTGTAACTTTTAGACTTTCTCAGCAAATAGGAAAAGCATGAAGCAACAGCAGAACGCAGTTATAAACTGACACAGAACACATTTTAATGAGTTTTCAGGAAAATTCAGCCACTATCTGTCTGTTAAATTTGCTTCTGAGACAAAACTGATAGAGGCAAAAAAAGCGGGTGAAAAACAGAGCTCCGAACGGGCTCTACTAAACAGCTTACCCTTCTTGAAGAAGAACCTGCACAACCTCAAGGTGTCCATTTCTAGCACCGTACATGAGGGCTGTCCAGCCATTCCCTGCAGCCGCATTGACAAGGGACGGGGAGCGCCTGAGCAGCGCCTTCAGCGCGGCCGCGTCTCCGCGGGCAGCCAAGGCATGCAGCTCAGAAACCAAGCCCTCATGCAGGCTCTTTTCAAAGTCAGTCATGGCGCCAACTAAGTTGAAAAAAAAGAAAATGAACACGCCTGGGGGCATAGCCACAACTACTAACACGACCTAAGTAAAAGATCAAACTTTAATGCTGTACAAAAAATAAGTATTATTACCGAAAATACAGACACAACAAATTCTTGTGATTGGTGTGATACTGTTATCCCAAATCAAATCTTCGTCCCATCCATCTCCAAATAGAGTGACACTTTACCTTAACAATCAAAACCAGCTTTAAAGAGGCTTAAAGACCAAAAGGTTTCACTACGCATGCGAGAATGAAAAAAATCACGTCGTGGTTTCTAAACCAAACGCACACAGACAAGCAGACTGCTGCCGGGACCGCTTCGCACACAGTGGCAACTTCTATTCCCTCAGGGCCCGCTCCACTCCTTTCCCCAGGGCCGGGACCCGACTGGACAGCGGGACGCCCTTACCGTGCACGGCTCTGCGAGCAGCCAGGCCCCGTGCGCGCTCCCGCTGCGCCCGGCAGCGTCGCAGGGAAGCCCCGCCCCCGGCGCGAGCCCGAGAGAGACGGAGCGGGGCCGAACGGGCCCGAAAGGCGCCGAGCGTGCCCGAGCGGTGCCGAACGTGATTGCCCTGCCCGGCCCCTCAGGCGGGAGCCGGGCTTGGGACGCTGCGCGTTCCCGGAGGGAATCGCCGGTCGTTCTCTGATCGCTGCTGTCGGGGAGGGCGGGTCATGGCAAACAGCTGTTTTGTCAGCCGGGCAGGAATCTCGGTGGTTATAGGGAAGCGATGAGATCGATTTTTAGCATTGCTTGGCCGCGCTAGCAGAAGGCAGGGGACAGTGGCAACAGAACGCGGAAGTAGTTGTGAGGAAGGTGGAGTAACTGATGTGGCAGGGGAGAAGAGTTAGCGGGGAAATTGAAGTAATTAGCTAGAAGCGTGTCCTGCCTAATGTCAGGAAAATTCCGCAAACGCCAGAGGTTTATGTCCAAAAAGAGGAATCCTTCAAATTTCTTTCGAATAAAGGGGGAGACTGCACCGGGTACACGCCCTCGGGATTTTCTCTCTCGCGGTTTCGGAGGGCGCAGCCTCATCTCAAGCTCCCGGCCGCATATCAGCTTCTTCTTTTCCTCATTGCTGAAGCACTAGGAAGGTACAGCCTTCCCAAAACACCTATCACATATCCCCTCTTCAACCTACTGTCATTTTACCCCAAAGATCAGAAGTTCAGGCTTTGTGCAGACCCTTGTCTGTCAGGAGCCACGGTGTCTGGGCTCTGCAACAAACCTGCTGCCCAGAGTTAGTAGAGACATTAACACCCATTTCAAATATATTAACACCCATACCTTCACCCATCAAATTGTTTGTAAAGACATTAGCTTTCCTCTCTTCAAGAAAAACACTGGAAAAATGAGTCTATATTAGTCCTATAGAAACGAGCCTGGAATTTTCCTAGTGCCTTTGCACCTGAAGAATGCTAAAAAAAAAAAAAAAAAAGAGGTAGCTTTTGAGAGGTCAAAATAAAAGTATTGTACTGTACAGGGTAATCTTGCAAAACAGATTGCAGTTATTCCAGTCGCCTAAAGTTGGAATGCAAAGGTTAAGTTAAATCCAGTTCTTCCTTCAGTATTACATTACCGGTTTTCCCACTTGGATTTATATTAATCGTGAATAACTAACTCATATGAATCTTTGTTTCAATGTTTTATTTGTGATATTCACCACTGTATTCAAATAATAAAATGATTGGTCATCAGCTTGTTTTTAAATGTGGCTCTCAGAAGCTCCATCAAGTTTCTGTTTTAGCAATAGAGCTTTAGCTTGAGATACCTACATATATAAAAATATGCATATAGAGAGGTATATGTATATATCCACATAACCTATTACTCAAGGGCAGTGTCATTTTTTATCTAGGAGTACTGCAGAAGTTTAGTAATGTATGAACGGGAATAAATAATACAATTAAGCAGGTTTTATGTCTTGCTCATGGTCGGATACACTCTCCAGGTCCTGACATCATATCAGCAGTTCCCAAGGTCCATGATTTTAAGTACTTCTGGTGGAATTTGTGCCATCTTCCAGTGCATCCTTCCAAAAGCAACTTAGCACTCCTTGTTTAAAATACTATAATAAATTGAATGTGACCTTAAAATTGTAACGTACTTAAGTTTGAAGTAAGTTTGAAAATATTTTGTTTGTCCTAATAGATGCTGTTACTTTGCTGGATAAAAGGTTACAAATTCTTGCGAATATGTAGATTTCTATTTAATAATCACTGTGCTGAATTTTCTAAAAGAAATTTAATATTTATTTAGAATGGAAATGTGTAATGGTAATTTGCTTTAAAAGCTGTTTTTATCTTTGGTGTAGTCCAGAGCTAAATAAAACTCACTGAGAAGGTCAATGTGGTGCTAGATTTAGCTGTGCCATGGTTCTTGAATTTTGTACAAAATAAACCCTGTACAGGCCAGTATTCATTTGACTTGACTGAATCTGTTAGCTCTTCAGTAGTGGAGAGGTAAGGGTGTATTTGCAAGGCTTCAGGAGTCTGAGGTTGTCGGTGTGAGAATGGAAATGAATGCAGCATCACTAATTTACTCTGATCCTGAAAGAGATGGCTCTGTGTTGATAGTGACTAATGAGAGTATTTTCAAAATGTTTTCTGATTGCTGTGGACAGCAGTCAGGGAGTAATATCTGAATGCTGTGGTGCCCTATTCATTTGGTGCTGCAGCCTTTAGAAAAAAATTGCATGTGCTGTAAAGAAGGTACCTAAGTGCCATTGGGAGCATTGCAATGATTGGGCAAAATGAAGGGTTGGAGTGCCTGCAAGAAGTAAGTTGGCTGTACTCCTTTCTGGTCTGAGTTACCTTCTAAATCGCTTTATTTGAGTTCATAAACTGGTCTGGAAAATACTCCAATAGATCTCAATTAGGTTAATAGAATTATTAAAAATTATCTCATTATTTTTGTATTTATATTATCCAGATGTTTTAGAGTCAGAATCTGGATTTTAGTGTTGGTGTAGGTTACAAACAAGAATTATCTATTTTTAACTCTTTTCAGTGCAACAGTAACAGTACAACAGAAGGTTTGTTAGTTCTTCATTTGGGCTTGCACTTCATTCTTAACCTCTCAATTCCACCCATGTTTCATGTTTTTCAGAGTTGATGTGCTGGGTGAAGTTTAAAAGAAGCTCTGATTTTAAGTTGTTCATTGGAAGTGAAAAAAGTAAGACACTGGATGTGTGAATGTGGGTTTTTTTAGTATAGTTTAGTTTACATACATTGTCATTAGCTGATTGTAATGGAGTATGCCTTTTGCAATTCTTAGTTTCAAAATAAAATTTCGATTTGTCTCAAGGAGTCAAAGTTGTTATGAGGGAAGCAGTAATCAGTATTATGTGGCACTTCAGCATTCTGTAATAGTATCCTTTGATGTTGTAAACAAGGACTTTTGAACAATATGACTAGAGTCTTTCCTATGGATCTCCCTGATTAGTTTCCAAGCAGTCCTCCCTGGGAAACAATTGGGCAAATGCTAAAGGGCCTGATACAAAGCATCCATTGGCCTAAATACGAGTTTCTTGGTATTGAAGAAATGGAATCCTTTTGGTGGTGAATCGTTAAAAAAAACCCCAGTATAATCACGGATAAAGACCCTCTAAAGTTAGAAAGTGGTGTGTTTATTCACCGGCGGGCAGCACGGGAGTCACCTCTGAAAGGCGTGACCGCCCTGAACAAGGTTCTTTGCCATCTATTTATTCCCCAAGATCTTACATACAATACATCTGCATAACCCCAGCACCTCCCATCCCCACCCCATATTAAAATGAGCCCATTAGTCCTTCACACGTGGGCAGTTCTTCTCTTGAATTTGGGTCGGTGGTCTCGAAATGGGTCAGTGGTCTCGAAGGATGAAGTCAGGAGAGTCTTCATCAGGTCTCAGTGATCCTCTGGCAAGATCCAAAGCCTCGTGCTTCGTGATTAACATTTCACTTATTTTATATTCTTCTACACGTAAGTTAATAGCAGATAATTATACCAATTAGCTCTTGCCTAAGCATCTAGTAATTATTAACCTACCATTTACCCACCTAACTTACATCTTGGTCATGGAAACTACTTCTACCTTTAGCAAAAAATCTTAACTCTTTAAAACCATGATTCAGTGGGAGTTTTTACTTTCTTGTAAGAAAGAGCTGTAATAAAGCTGCGTTGACAGTATTTGTTATGAAAAAATCCATTTACACATATTAGTTAATTTCAGTTAAAGACACCAAAACACTGTTCTTAATACTAACTCTGGACCTCAGTAGTCTACAAAATAGGGAGGACAGTAATTCTTTCGACTCAAACTGCTTTCAGTCTGCTGAATAGGAAATTTCTTTTGTCTGTGGAATGTGCTGCAATACATGTTGCATCTGACAGAAAAGAGGCATGTACCAATCTGCCCATAATGTGTGAGGGAGTTCCCTTTTCTCTCTGGTCCCTCTGGCTAGCTCTGGACCAGAGGTGGATGGGAAATCCTCATAGACAAAGGTAAAAAAACCCAAAGGAGGCTCTTTTCTCCCGTGGGAAAAATGGTCCACAGTTTATTGTGTCATCCAGATGGTGAGAGGAGAAAGAGAGAGAGAAGATGGTGGGCACTTTTAAACTCAGGGAAAGGGGAAGGGAGGAATAGAGCTGCAACCAATGCTGACGGGGAGGGGCAAAAGGAAGGATTTGGCCATGTCACAGACCTATGGGGAAGAATGGAAGATACCATAACATGAACAGTGCAACTTATGAAAGAAACAGTGCAATACAACAAACGTATTCCTGAAAAATTAATGTTTTGTCATATGATGGCTATGAAACAAATTTTCCCCAAGCAACTGATGTGAGAGTGGGAGGTGATGAGTGCTAAAATTTAATAAATATGCCTGAATTAAATCTGTGAGGACAGTATGCACAATATGGAGAGCTGGAAGTCATAAGCACAAACACAGCAAGTGACTTTTCAGAAAGGACCACTGCTATGAAAGGTCCCAACTG